ATAAATTGCCTAGCCCTAGCCTATGTACTCCGCACAACATAAGTGACGAGTGAAATCTTCGGCGGTTGGAAGAGACAAATGCTCCCCTAGGTGGTGTCCAAACCCAGGTATCCCATCCTTTCCTTTTGGTTTGCTCACTACTCATCTAAATATTTGTGCAACAAGTATTCTTGCATGGGCCCTGTGACTCTACGAAGGAGGCTGGTGGAGCCATGCCCACCAGTGATTGATCAATGCCGACTAGTTAATAGTGTTGTTGACTCGCCTTGCTTGCAGGTGTGTATGATGGCTGACATCTACACTTATCAGGTCGTGTAATTTTCCCTGGAGGAGGTTAAGTCCACAAAGTATAAAAGCTCCCACTCATTCCTCGGTCGACTATTCACTGACAGTAGAGTCACGGTGACGGAGCTGCATGAAGCATTGACCGCTCTGTGGCAAGTAAAGGAGCGGTTCCGAGTTGTACTTGCCAAGTTTGGGCCTTTTGAATTTATTTTTCCCGATGAAGAAACAAAGAATTGGGTGATGAAGCGCACACCATGGGTAATAAGAGACAAACTGCTCCACCTACTATCGTGGACCCAAAACATCGTGAAGAAAACATTTGATGACCTTGCCATAGCACCCTTCCGGGTCCAATTATGGGAGATAAATGACGATTGTTGTACACGAGAATTTGGGAAGAAGGTGGCGAATCCCACTATCAGGAAATTCCTGGAGGTTGGTGTCTTTGTCTGTCAAGACATGGGTCGCTACTTTGTAAAAGTCAGGGTCTTAATTGACTTCTCCAAACCCTTCCGATCCCAGATCTTGGCGGCTAGTGATGACATTGGGTGCTTCTAGGTTAGCCTGAAGTATAAGCATCTCCCCGGCTTCTACTTCCAATGAGGACGGGTGGAACACTTCTACCGGGAGTGCACTTTTGATCCTCCATCACGAAAAGAAAATTTGGCCCTCATATGTCCACTAAGAAATTAGGGACTAAATATATGAGGAGGAAGATAGGAGGCAAACTTTTCGCGGAGCGATCAACTCTGTATGGATAAACAAAAATGTGCGAGAAAATAGAGCCGTTTTAGGCCTTGAGGGTGATCTGCTAGCGCATACTATGAAACAGGACCGTTGTCGTGCAAAAAACTGATGCACCTAACCACGAGCGACATCGGGTGTACTCGATGCCAACATTATCTTAGGGGGAGGCTGTCCCCGCAAAGGAGACGAAGCCCACGGGGCTTCTCGGTGGCGAAGTCTCCCAAAATGATGCTGGGAAAGAATGGTCGAAGGCAGACCCCACGGAAAGCTACGGGTGGTAAATTTCGGAATGATGGCCCCTCTCACTTTCGTTCAAACCTAGTTTCTAGAAATTTAAGTGAGAAACATGCATGGAAGGAGCATCATCTTGGGCATAGAGACTGTTTGGAGGAGTCCCCTGCAAATAGTATGGATAGACAAACACCAATCGGTGGGGATGGTGCGTATGACATTCTCACTACCCAGCCTCCAATCCAATGTCGTAAGCTAGTGCTCCCTGATTTCGATGAGGAGATTCCCTCGCAGCTACCTGACATGACCACATTTGGTGGCAATAACTCAGGCCAGGGAAAGCAGGGGAAATGCAGACTGATTAAGCTGGCGGAGAAGGCGGTCAAGGGAGGTCTGAGTGGAAAGGGCAAAGAATAAAAGAAGATGATTGATGAACACTATCCATCCTCACTTCACGGCCACCAAATCCGGCATCAAAATCAGCTACAGAAACCAAATATCAAAATGTCTCCTGTAAACAATTTGTGAGGACCAAATATGCATTTGCAGCTGAAGTGATGGAGCCAAACGGTTGTGCGGACCCTCCCCAAGCCAATCCTTTCTCTCTATACCAAAGGAGGAGCCCACCGGCTCAGTCAAAGATTACATTTGCTAACCCAACACTTGATTTGGTGGATTCGTATGCCTCGCTATCGGAGAATGAGGAACACTGCTTTGAAATAAGGAGTCATCCTCATGCGGCAAATCCGATCCCTACTCGCCGCTCCAATGGCAGCCAAGTACGCAAGGTGGTTGCAACATTTGAGGCGGGAATGGTGATAAACGATGGTCAAGGTTTGGTGGGGGAAGCGTAGCATGGCACAAATCTGATACTCGATGAGTATGGTTCGAACATTGCAGATGCTAGGACCGGAGGACGTAAGTGGCCTATCCATGAGCTGGAAGGGGACATTGGTGACAATCCAACTCCCAAGAAACAGTTTATCAAAGAAGAAATTCAAAAATAAAAGGTGGAGGAAGCAGCCTGGAGTGGCCCCAAGTGAATAAATGAAGATTCTAACTTGGAATGTGATAGGAATTGGAACATCCCTCACCTTCCAAATTGATGTTGGTTTAGTTCATTCGAATAAGCCCGACCTTGTCTTCTTTTTCGAAACAAGGTCGTGCAGGCGAGTAGTATCCCGTAAAATGTGGGGTTTAGGTTTTGCTTTGTCTCATTGTTTCTTTGAAGATGCGATTGATGCATCTGGTGGTTTAGTAGCTACTTGGTCCCCCGGTGTTGATACTTCGGTATTTTTTTCATTCCAACTTCTCTATTTGTATACAAATTAATGAAGGTGGTGTGTCTTAGGTTATGGTGTGTGTTTATATGAGTTGTGATTTTCTAATAAAAGACACTTAATTGGCTTAGCTTCGCGAAATCTGTGACACAATCCAATTTCCTTACGTGGTCATCAGTGATTTCAATGCAACGATTAACGAGAATGCAAAGGATGGGGGTAGCCCTTGGAATATGGCAAAATTAATTGACCTGCGTAATTTTGTTCATGATCTTGGACTCCATGACCCGGGATTCCAAAGCGACCAATTAACTTGGACAAATAAAAGTATGGGGCCTTCCTATATTAGGGAGAGGCTCGACAGAGCTCTATGTTACCAAACTTTGATTGATTAGTTCCCGGACACCCTAGTTAAACATTTCACAGACCAGGGAGCTGATCATCAAACCCTCCTCCTGTCCGACAATCCTTACGTCAGGCATAGTCGACCCATTTTCCAATTTGATGCTCGATGGGCATATGATCCTGAGGTCAAGGCTATGGTAAGTTATGTCTTGAAGGAGGAGTATCAGGGGACTCCAATGTACCAGCTTTGGTAGAAGCTAAAAAAGCCGCATCACTTGCTTTATGATCGGATCAAATCAAACTACCCAATTAATTGGGATAAGGTGAAAAATATAGAGATTGAGTTAAATAGACAATAGGAGGCGGAGGAAGTACACTGGCAACAAAAATCCTGTGTTACATGGCTAAAAAAGGGTGATAAGAACACTTCTTACTTCCATACGGTTACACGTACTCGTCGAAAAAGGAATTTTGTGGCCGACCTTCATGATGAGAATGTTGAATGGATCACTAAGAAAAGAGGAAAGGCTGATCTCGCCACAAATTTTTATCATACTCTTTTTACCTCGGAAACCTGGATCTCTAACATGGCCACTTGGGTGGATAATCTTCCAATAAATCGGAGTGTATGATGTCACTAAAAGCACATGCAAAGATAATCCAGAAATTGAAACTGACTGTAGTCGTATTTCCCTAGGGTCCTTTTCAGTTGACTACTCAAGTACTGGTTACTAGTGATTCGGATATCAAATTAATTATATAGCGATTGGTCACAAAATTAGCAAATCAACTCACAAGATTTTTTGTGGTTGTTTGAATTGGATTTCCCCTCGATGTTTCATCCTGAATAAATTCAATCTAAATACGTTTTAAAACGAATTTCATCCCATCGTACTTTCTAAAGTCGAATTCATACATTTTCATATCGATAAATTCGTTCAGCTTTCAATTAATAATCTCGGTTTTAATGTCATATTAAATAATTGAAAGTTTATATATGAAGACTCAAATTGCACTTGAGATAGACCATACAAATAAATCCTGATTTCTCATGAACTTTACCTGATCGATTGTTCTCGTGTTTGGCGATCATGGAGCTAGAATGATATTTCTAGTCAATTCTACCTTCCAACAATATTCTAAATGAAGAGTTTCTCCTTCCGTCCAGAAACACAATTAACAAACGCAAGTGATGTTAATTCATCAAAAATTTGTTAGTTAAATCATTTTAAAAAGAATTGAGATCTTTACTTTTATCGAGGGTTCTAACCAATCGTATAAACCTAACCCCACTCCAAAAATAAATAGAAGTACAGTATAAATTGGGCGAAAGGGAAGAAGGACTTACCTACCTCAAGTGAGCTAACTAATCCTATAAACCAAAACCCACAACAAAAAATATAAATATGGGGATATGGAAGGACGTGGCTAAGTCAAGTGAGCTAGCTAATCGTATAAACCAATCCCCACAAAAGATTATATTAACGGCGTGAAAATTAAAAGTGTAAAGATAGAAAGTTACCAAAACCTGGTCGTGGACTGATTTTGTGTCGAGAGTACAATGATTGTATTGAATCAACATATCACCAAAGTAATTTCTTGTCGCAATACACCACTATAATCTCTAGTTGTAGCAGGCGAGCGGTAGAAATATAACTTGCACTTATTTCAACATTACAACGACATGAAAATTACATCGAAAAGGAAAATAAGAATGAAAATGAGAAGTTACAACGAAAGTATAGACCCGACCAAGGCCCGAAGTAGAGCTTCGGCCTTCACTTCCTCCTCTTTTTTATGTGCTCACATCCTTATTGCATGTTAATCCCATGCATGCTTGCTGCGTCGCTTGGCCAGATTATGCACAACGAACTTGCTAGTGCAAAGTGTAGCTTACTTGTGCACTTTTGTTTTCTTTTCGTAAATTCCTCGTTCGAACTTCGAATTCACTTCGGTTTCTTCCCATATGATTATGAATATGATGAAACATCAAAACACACAAAACGAAGCGTAAAACTGAAAAACAACATAACTTCTTTAGTATAACAATCTAATTGTGTACTAAAATGTGGGAATAAATATATACATTTTCTAGGTGTATCAGTGTAACAGCGGAAATGAATGTTGGCCTCACGGTGGAAGTCCTTCCTAGCAAAGTGCATCGTACGATCTTCTCCATGGGATCGAAACAGGCTCCTGGGTCTGATGGTTTCACGGGAAAAATTTTCAAAGCCTTTTGGGACATTGATGTAGAATTCGTGATTAAGGTTGTCTGCTCATTCTTCACCATGCGAAGAATGCTCCGAAGCTTTAATCACACCTAACTGACATTGATATCGAAAGTAGACAATGTTGAAACCGTGCGACAACTCAGACCAATCAGCCTATGTCAGTTTGTCTACAAATTTATGACGAAGATTATGTCTGAAAGACTTGCCTGCATCTTACCCGAAATCATTTCGGAAGGCCAAAATGTGTTCATCAAGGAGCGATAGATAGTTGAGAATGTCCTGCTAGGGAATGAGTTAATGCATTACTTGAAAATTAAAACTCGTGTGAAGAAAGGGTACATGGCTCTTAAGGTTGACATGAAAAAGGCCTATGATAGAGTCGAATGACCATTTCTTCTAGCGGCTTCAGATAAGATGGGCTTTAACTTCACCTGGAAAGGTTGGATACACGAATGCCTCCGATCAACGTCATTTTCTATTCTTATGAATGGTCCACCTTTGGGTTTCTTTACACCTACCAGGGGCCTTCGGCAGGGTGATCCGCTGTCTCTCCTACTGTTTGTGATTTCACGAAAGGGTTTGCAGCGCTCCTCCAGAAAGCTATTTCTGAAGGGAAATTGGAAGGTGTCAAAGTTGCTCCACGAGCTCCTCGCATATCGCATCTGTTCTTTCCAGATGACTCATATTTATTCAGAGGTTCATTGAAAGAATGTGAGCGATTGATTGAGTTTTCAAATGAGTATGAGGAACTTAGTGGCCAAAGGATTAACCTGGCTAAATCGGCCGTCTGTTTTAGCAAGAACATCGCGCTGCCAGATCAACAGTTCTTGGCTCAAGTTCTGAGAGTTGGGGCGATGGGGCTGCATGATAAATATCTGGGACTACCTACCCTAATATCCCAATCTAAAATGGCAACGTCCCGATATTTGGAGGAAAATTTATTGGTTTGACTTCAAGGATGGAAGCAACGGACTTTGTCTTGGGCAGCTAAGGAGACTCTAATCAAATTGGTCGCTTTAGCTTTGCCACTGAATGTCATGTCCTGCTTGAAACTACCTATCTCCCTCTGTCGGCTTTTGGACAAACATTTGGCCAGATTTTGGTGGGGAGTCGAGGAGGGACATTCTAAGATCCGGTGGATGTCGTGAAGAAATATGTGTCGGAGTAAGCATGATGGTGGGATGGGATTTCGTCGCTTTGAAAATTTTAACCAGACGTTGTTAGCCAAAATTGGTTGGTGTATTCTCAATGAACCCCACTCCCTCTTGGCCCAAGTTTACAAAGGAAAATATTTTCCGACTAGCACGTTCCTCAAAGCTACTGCTCGGTCTCGCCCCTCTTGGGGTTGGCAGAGTATCCTCTATGGCTGCAAGTTATTGTTGAAAGGGTTGTATTGGCATATTTGCAATGGTCAAACAACTTCTCTGTTGCTTTCCAACTGGGTTCCTTGTTTACATCCCAACCCCCCAGTGTACAATCCCAAAGTGCTTCCTGATTCAGTTGACCCACCGGTGGCAGAGGTCATTAATCAAGGAGAGGGAGGTTGGTGTGATGTGAAACTTAGACAGTGGTTTGACCTGACAACGTGTCGTGAAATCAAAGTCATTCCTCTCCCGTGCCGCGAGGTGGAGGATAAATTGATATGGCATGGTATGTCTGGCGGGGTTTTTACTTTTAAATCAGCCTATAATTTTGCTATCTTGTTAGATCAGCAAGATGGTCGTTGGAAATCAACTAGTTGGATGGATAGGGCCACCTAGATTCGATTGTGGGATGCTAACATTCCACCCAAGCTGAAAGTGTTTGTTTGGCAGATCTTCAATCGAATCCTCCCAACGACGGAGGCTTTGATTGAGAAGGATGTTGATGTGCATCCCAGGTGCCCAGTTTTTTGGGCGGAATCAGAAACAATGGAACACTTGTTTCTTGATTATCCTATGGCTAGGGCCTTATGGGATCAATCAGGTCTTGAGTATCTTGTTCAAGCTCTACCTCGCCACACTTTCCCCCTTTTTCTTAAGAAATTAATGAATCTCCTTAATCAACCCCATCGGTTCATGGCAGTTGTGGCTGTCTTTTGGCGAATCTGGCGGTTGTGAAATCGGGTTGTCTTCGAGGAAAAACAGTAAGGGATCCCGACTCTGATGAGGCTGTTCAATCAGCATTCTCGTGAATGGCTAAGTCAGCCTGGTAACAGTAGCCTCCTTTCTCCCATCCCTGTATCTCAGCCAATGGATGCGGGACAACCGAAAGGAGTTTTCTGTAAGTGGGATGGGGCGACTAAGGGTGGGATTTTTTGGAATAGTCGGATGGGCGCTATTCTCCGAGAAGCTATTCTCTGGGGTTTAAGTCTGGGATTTTCGGATATTTGATTTGAAGGTGATGCTAAAGTGGTCATTGAGAAGATCCTCCATTTTGATACCCGGGATAGTCGATGGGCGCAATTATTGAAGAGTTCTTGCCATTATTCGAGATTCATGGTGGCCTCAGTGTACAATTTGTAGGTTGTTGTAACAATAGGGTAGCCAATTTGGTGGCTAGGAAGACTCTTTCATTGTACCCGATTGTGAGTCACTTTTTTGATTTCCTAGTCTGGCTTAATTCGAGGATGTAATTATCTATTTTACCAATCAATATATATGATTATCTTTTGTAAAAAAATGTGAGAGAAACTTTGCAACAAACTACCTCTCTCATCAAGGTGATAACTCACCCTTTGATTGTCCTATTATTGTTATGACAGATTTTTATTTGACCTAATTGGAACTTGTATGACGTGGTCTCTAAGACCATTTGATTAATAACAAATCGAAATGATTTTCCACTATTTGAACAAAAAATGATTCAATAATTCCCAAATTATGTAGTCTCAATCTTACATTCTTTTAATTCCAATAAAACAAAATGACATATCTAATTCGGCTCAAACCCAATTGGTGATTACAAAAACAAACCATTTTGAGTAGTAATATAAAAATAATAAAAATTAAAAACAAACTAAATCACCAATGATCGTTCATTCAAATCGTTAGAGAGAGAAATAACCTCATTCATTTCTCTATCTCCCTTTTTTCCTCTCCCTCTCCCAAGTCTCAACGTTGAGGATAATGATGATCCTCTTGTAAAAAAAGGAGTGAGGGAGAGGAGAGGGGAAAATATGAGTCATCTTATTCCTTCTCCTGTAATTAATAAAATTCCACCATTGCGATTCAGAATAATATACAAAAATCATTTTCTAGCATTCCTTTGCCTCGTTTTCTTCTCCCTTCTTTCCTTTTTCTTTCTCCTTCATCACCCTGTCTCTCATTTCTTCTCCATTGTCGATGATGTTTTCCTCATTTTCTACTTGTGCTCCTCATTCGCCCTCTTCAAGATCAACCAAAACCTGGTCCTCTTAATTCATCCTTCTCGTAACAAAACTAGCACCTTCTTGCCGAAGACTCGAAATCATAGCACCCTTGCAATTCCTTCATCAAAGCCATATGGGGTTGTTGTTGATTCCTCTCTTAAGAACAAGTGCCCAAAACTTCCAAAAAATAGAGCATTGACAGAATCTTTTTCATTCAAGGAGAACTGTTCGATTCATAGCACATTTAATGCTATGGATAATTCACCATCCGGAAGTAATGATTTGTCTAGCGTGCCATCTCCTTTAACCAAGTCCCCATGGTCGTCCCATCTTAATTTGAACGTTGAAGAACATGGTGGAGGCGAAGTCTCGGAATTAAGCCCCAATGTGTTGTTGGGTTCTCTAGTGAGGGAAGAAGGGCATATTTATTCATTGGCAGCAGTAGGGGATTTACTATACACAGGATCTGACAGCAAGAACATTCGGGTTTGGAAAAATCATCGAGAATTCTCTGGATTTAAATCAAATAGTGGTTTGGTGAAGGCGATCATTATATCCAAGGACAAGATTTTCACAGGGCATCAGGACGGGAAAGTTCGGGTATGGAAAGTTTCATCCAAAAACTCGTCGGTTCACAAACGAGTTGGGACCTTACCGACTCTCAGGGATGTGGTCAAGAACTCGATTAAACCCAGCAATTACATCAGCGAAACGAGGAAAAATGGGATCAATGGCCTCTGGCTAAAGCATTTTGATGCAATTTCTTGCCTGGGGATTAGTGAGGATGGCGCATACCTCTACTCTGCATCATGGGATAAGACCTTCAAAGTGTGGAGGATCTCCGATTTCAAATGCCTGGAATCGATCGCCGCCCATGATGATGCAGTAAATGCCCTTGTGGCTGGGTTTGATGGATTAGTGTTCACAGGTTCTGCAGATGGTAGTGTGAAGGTGTGGCGAAGGGAGCTGCAGGGGAAAGGGACGAAGCATTTCTTTTCCCAAACGCTACTGAAGCAAGAGTGTGCAATTACGGCTTTGGCGGTAAACCCACCAGATGCCACTGTTGTATATTGTGGATCCTCGGATGGGCTCATCAATTTTTGGGAGAGGGACACACAACTATCACACGGTGGTGTTTTAAGAGGACATAAATTGGCAGTGCTCTGCTTGGTCTCAGTCGGGAGCTTAGTGTTTAGTGGTTCTGCGGATATGGCGATTTGTGTGTGGAGGAGGAGCGGGATTGAGCATACATGTTTATCGCAGTTAATTGGACACACAGGACCAGTGAAATGCTTGGCAGTGGAGGAGGATCCTAACCCAACGGCAGGAGCTGGAGGGAGGTCATGGACTTTGTATAGCGGGAGCCTTGATAAGTCGGTGAAGATGTGGAGGGTGTCAGAGCAAGCACCACCAATGGGATGGAACGGTAGTAGTAAGCGGCCAACATCGACACTAACAGTCGCTCCAACTTTCTCGAATCAGGGTAACAGGATTACTGAGGCAAAGTATTGAAAAACAACAAGGTAATGGATATAGGTTAACTCTTTTTAATATCAATTGTATACTTTGATGGTGAAATTTTGGATGTTATTGTGTACAAGGGTGAGTTAGCATGGGCAAACCAAACGAAATGTAGTCCATGAGAAGTTTCAGAATTAGTATGTTTTCTCATATATGAAATTTTTTTTTTTTTTTTTTGAAAAGTATGATTTCACATACTTATTATTTTTAAAAATACAAAAAGTTACTATTTTACTTAATTGCTTCCACCCAACTTAGAACACTGCCCACTGAAATCAATGATTGTGCGAAAATAAGAACAAAATTGCCAAAGATTTGGTTTCGATAAAATCAAATAGAATCGTTATTTAGGTCGTAGTTTGATTCTTAATATTTGCTAAATTTTATTTTAATGATCAAATGTTCATCCCTAAATGACCGTCCAAATCATTTAAGGATTAGTTTGTGAGGTAGAGAGAAACAACAAATTCTATAAAGAAGTTGTGCAACTCACTTATAAAAATAAGTAGGGAGCACATTGATCATCAGTATCGTATAAGGTTTAATAGTGTTCTTTAATCGTATTTAAAACAAATAAAAAACAACTAATTGTGAACCTCGACATATCCAAGCAATCTACCATGACAATTTACGCATGTCAAAACAAACTCTGAAGCTTCAACTAGTAAGAGATCGATAATGACAAGTTATGAACTATGAGTTATTTGGAACCTTTGATTCTAAATCTGATGTATTCCAATATTGCATGTGCTAATTTTATGGACATACTAAGAATATGTATTTTCTAAAGCATGTTTTTTAGTAAATAAAAAGATTTTGTGAATTTACTACAATTTTGAAACATGGATACTCAATCTCACCAAAAAGTAACATTAATATATATAAAGAAGAAGTTGAGTTACTGTTGCCTAATTTTGCAAGTTGATTGGGCAACTATCATTTTTAAATTTTCATACCCAAATTTAATTTAATTAAATTACAACTTAGTTACTATAATATACATTTTACATTTTGATACCCCAAATTTAATTTCAATGTAAAATTATTGAACAATTATGTTTTGTTATCTAAATTTTATGAGCTTTTCGTACCTACATTTTTTTTTAAATTAACATATTGGTTTAATGTTTAGATTTCACTTGAATCCATGAATCCAATCCGCCAATCCTTTTGAATCAATCAATGAATCCAATCTACCATAACAAAAAATATAAATTTAGTTTGTACCATACAAGATGTTGTATCACTCAACTGAAGGAGAAGATTCGACCATTTTATATTTGCTCATTGCGTGAAACATTAAATAAATAATTAAAGTGAGACGACTCTAAAATATTACAAGAGCGATTTTATAAACTCATTTAGTACATTTACGGGGTACTAAACAAACTTCTACTAACTACATGCAATAAAATAGGCGACATCTACATAAGCAAGTGACAATAAATTGCTACGGTGAAAATGGTTGACTGTTGTATTGACGGCCAACTAAAAGAATTGGTCAAAACCTTTCCATCATCTACTTGCTTTTCGTTTCATTTTTCACTCGCCTTCCATAACTCTTTATTTATTTCTTTCTTTGCCTTCTTCGTCTAACCGTAATTAGTATACAATTTTTATGTATTCTAATCACAAGTATGAACGGGTCCATACTACTTACCAACAGTCTAGAGAATTAATAATTGAACCATGAACCATTAACTTTTTCAGCACAATGTCGAGTCCAAATAAAAATAAATAAATATGGTTATTACTTATTAGAAAGTAATCATTTTCCACTATGAGATTTGAAAGCGTGAAATTTAAGCGAGTTTCAGTTTGTATTCATTTTGCTTCTCCCTAAAGTTTTTCTTTTTCACCTGAGCTAGAATTTTCGACAATTATATATAGAATGTTTGGCTAGGTATCTACACATATCAAATAATAGTTTCCATTTTTCTATAAAATACATCACCATAAAGGAATTAAGCCTCAAATATGCAAATTACAGTTCGGTACCTAAACTTAATAGATTTTTAGATTTATAACCTAAATTTATTTTTTGGCACATAAGTCCCCAAAATATTGATTGAACATTACATTTTAGTATCTACAATTTTTGCGTATGACATTTTGGTGCCTAAACTTTTGAAGTTCTACAAATATGTCTAATTTTTGTATGTGTAATTAAAACACCCTCGAATAAATGGTTATCCATACCCAACACATACACATTTAGATTATGTAAGTACATATTCATACCCTATCCAAACCCATCTACAAACTTTCAAACTCATATATATGTCACCCATACCCTACCCATAATCAATGGATCTACTTGGGTTTAGGTAAATATCAGTTATTAGCCAAAATTTCCAAAAAAAATTAAATTGGATGTTGACCGCCTATATATCTTCTCAGTTAATATCATATTGTCAAGTCAATATTACTAACAAAGCTGCTAACAAAAAATTATTTTTAGACTAATAATACAAACAAACACCATAACTGGTGACATAATACATGCTCATATACCATCTCCGCCCCGCGACAAGGCGCGGCATCACCACCTAGTTATATTTATAGTACATGCATTCTGAATTTATATTAAGTCGAACAAAATTGCATTTCATGGAATGGGGGGTTCCAAATGACTAAACACGTGAAGCAAACTTAAAGGACATCAAGCACATACTATATGTAGAATTGGCTACTTGCGATTATTAGGAAGAAGTATTTATACATTATAATATAAATACACAAGAGAGTGGTAATTACCAATCGGGTTAGCATGATGATGGTCATTTCCATATGCATGTGTTTATACGAGTTGTGGGTGAGAAGAAATGTGGGAAACTTAAAGCTCTTATACCTAAACTAGGTGGCATATAAAGTGATAAGTCGAAGTATGATGCTTCATATGAAAATAAAATGGGATTGGAGCAGAATGATTTATCCCCTGGTTGTGAAAATATAATATCATGATTCATGGTGAAGTGGTGTCGGGTTGATGAATCTCCAAAAGGAGACTGCATATCTAGTTGAGTGCAACAGTGGTCTATACCTTAATATCGAACCTTTGTTTAGCTTGGATATAAGACGTGACTAAAATTGTCCAATCGATTTATATCGTTGCGTCGGTTTAACAAGCGATATGGTTCCACCAGGATACAATTAGTTTATCTCGGTTTATGTCAGTTTAACAAAATATTTATACTTGAATTCAACAAATAACATCAACATTTAAATTTCAAACTAATGAAATAAATAACAAGTTAAATTTTTTTAATGGAATTCATTAAATCGATGCCATTTTGTTTAAAGCCGAAATCAATCATGACAGTCATACCAGTGGTATTCCAACTGGTTTTGTGACCAACATTGGTTATACCATGTTCAATAAGCCGCCATTCCAGCGGCGTGACAACCATGGATGTTCCTACTTTACTGCCACATGGATCCCACTTCATCTTAGTAAAAAAAATAAAATTTTGCAATGATTTTGTGGTCGAAATTTGACTCACTTCTACTGTCACTCCAGGAATTGGCCAAGTGAAACCACTTCCTAAAGCGTAGTATAGCGGGTTTAGGTTTAATTATCAACCCGAGTCCTAGATCTGATGACTACTCAGTGAATTCTTGTTATCTAGCAATGACACTGGCATGCAAGTCTAAACTATCAAACTAACAAAGCAAGTAAACTGTTGTATTCAGGTTAAGAGAGGTCACCCGAATATGGTTCCCCCTAGACTGCAGTTAAGCCGGATTGTAATTACCAAGTTCAGTTTCTATGATAGTTATACTGCGGAAGGTTCTTAAACAGCCTGAAGTCTCGACTAAAGGTCTTCAGACCCTCTCAATCTGAGTCTCTAGCGGGCGACTAACCTCCACCGGAGTAAACAGATTGAGGCCTTAACAAACAAAACCTCCACTACCGGAGTAAATCCGGTACAGAATAGTGAGTTGGCTCCTCGACTAAAGTCACCAACTCCCTACCTTCATTCAAGGATGCTCTATCAACCTAGACAGATATTCTCATTCTAGGTTAAATCAGAAACAACAGGAATTTGATCAGGATTCAAGTCATTCAATCATTCAAACCTCAATCGAATATAATCAACTCATAGAATCAGTACTTGGGTTCATACAATCAAACCTAACATACAAATCTAGGGTTCTCCATACCCAGATGAATGGGAGAACTACTCCATGGAGAAAGAGGCAAAAGCAGAATCAGACGCGGAATTCATACTGTGAAGGATGGATTCCTGCTCCTGGACGTTGATCGGCACTTCTTCAAGCTCAAACTGGCCTCCAATGGTGATGAAGATCAAGCTAGGGCACTTGGAGACTCTTGTTCGTCGCTTTCTCTCTCTAGGAATCGCTCTGTCTCTCTAAAACTCGAATCCCCTTCTCTTTGGCTGAAAATCTGCTTAAAAGGGCATCAGTGGCCAAAGCACGGTCGAGGGCACGGCCGTGTAATGCCTCAGCCCGCCCGTGCTTTGGCTAGTGTTAATTACACTAGGAGAAACACGGCCGTGCTTTTGGGAGGACACGGCCGTGCTTTGGTGAAGCACGCTCGTGTTCTATCTCAACCCTGCCCGTGTTTTGGCCAATGTTTGCCAAACTCGAATTAGCTCTCGGCAGTAAAAGCACGGTCTCAGAACACGGCCGTGTAATGGTTTAGGTGTGCCCGTGTTTTGGCTCAGCTTCACCGAAATGACTTCCGAATGCCCCGAAACTCGTGCTTAGCCTTCCCTTTTACACCTGGGACATGAAACATGACAAAATAGCACAACCCGGCATAAAATAGGCCAAAAACACACGACTATGCCCCTCAAACGGATAAGAACTAGGGGCGCAAATACGTGCAATTACATCATTATCAAATTCCCCCACACTTAACCGTTTGCTTGTCCCCAAGCAAACCTAACTCAAACCAATGCAACTCTCCAGACCTCTATAGCAACAAACAATCCAGATCGTAGGTAGAGGACTTCCTAGGTCATTTAGCAGCTTACGAGGTCAACCGACGCACAAGTCATCTCATAGCTTCTTCGGCGAGAGCACTAGTATCGAGTCGGCATCATGGCAAATAGTGAACAGAGGACAAATGAATCGTGGATGAAGAGATTCTCAATAACAAAGGATCATGGACTCACATTTTTTCAAGGTGCTCTATTTTCTTTCTGAAGATGGTTGGAACCCCTTTTCTTTCTGTTTTGCTTGTTTTCTGTTATTTTTTTCTTTTTTTTTCTTTTTTCAAGGGTCCCAACCGGCTCTTACCGGCCATGCCAGGAGCGGATGTCTCGAGCCTCGTGCGGGGAAAAGACATGTAAGGGGGCTGGAGGTAGTAGGTGGAAATTGGGAACGAATTCCCGTCTCCCCTTACACACTTTCGCCCTATTCGCACGGGAGACGTTATTCTCAAGCACATTTTCGAGCACCTGTTATTTTCAAAAACATGATACAAGAGTCCATGACAGGTAGAGAGTCCACAACACCACACAATTCAAGGGTCCTAAGATCACTAATTCACTCAATCAACCAACACAATATGAAGAAGAAATGAGACTTCTTAAATGCATCAACATCCTCCATAGTGCTACACTACCTCCCTAGGTTGCATATTACTATAAAGACTGTCAATTCAAAGCATACTGAGCAGGCAATTGCAAGGAACACGTACTTGGAGCCCTCAAATTAAAAAATTTGGACAGTGGACTAGGCTCCAAGCACACAAACATATCTAACGCAGTCAAAAGATAAACATCCCCCCACACTTAAGATCGACATTGCCCTCAATGGAGAAGAGGGAAGGGAAAGGGGAACGATGTTACCGGTATGCACGGACTGCAGGAGGCTGGAAGCGGACCAGTCGGAGTGAGCGGACTGGATAGAGGACCAGTCAAGACGAGCACAGCTAAAGGAAACCAAAGAGCTCAAACACATATGTTAGGTCTAATGTCAGCCCAATAAGACATCATCCAAAACAAAAGAATACAAACCAAAACCAAACTGGTTTACAATCCGACTCAAAACACAAGAAAGAAAATCAAACCGTGGTGGGGTTGCCTCCCCACAAGCGCTTCTTTACCGTCTTTTAGCTGGACGCCAATTGTGGATACTCAGGGAGGTGCAGGAACAGGTGCCTCCAAGAGCGGATCCACGTCGCTCTTGAGGTACAGCTTCAGGTTGTGGCCATGCACCAGACGGATGCGACCACCATCATCGGTCAGCTCGACCTGGCCATCTGGCAAGATGCAGGCGAGTGAGTACTCGGACGGCCAGGGTGGTGGTGGTGCAGGAGGTGGGACCAGCTCATAGTGGTCTCCACCCTTCTTCCGTGCAGGCTTAGCAACCTGCTGCTTCGGCCGCCACTCCTCCTTGAGCTTTTTGTTCGGAGGCGAGGCTGGATGGAGTGGCGGCGAAGGAATGATAGGAGGGTCCTGCAAAATAAGAGGTGCAGAAGGATACACGACAGGCTCGTGTACCTGATCAGAAATGGCATGCACAGGTGTGACAGCAATCATAGCACAGTGATCAAATTCAGTCACAGAAAAAGTAGCCTGTTCATTCCCAGCACGCAAGATCAGTTTACCATCATGCACATCAATAAGTGCCTTGGCGGTGGCAAGAAATGGTCTACCCAGAATCAAAGCCACATCCACATCCTCATGTATATCAAGAATAACAAAATCAACAGGATATGTGAATGCACCTACTTTAACAAGCAGATCCTCTATGATCCCCCTAGGATGCACAATGGAACGATCAGCTAGCTGAATGCTCATCCTAGTAGGGCTAAGTTCACCTAGGTCTAGCTTTTTATACAACTTATATGGCATGACATTTATGCTAGCGCCTAGGTCCGCCAAGGACTTGCCTACATGCATGCTGCCAATAGTAAGAGGGATAGTAAAACTCCCTGGATCCTTGCGCTTTTCGGGCAGCTTGTTCTGCAGGATAGCAGAACACTCCTCACTGAGCATCACTGTCGAAAGATCCCCAAGTTTCTTCTTGTCGGTGAGGAGGTCTTTCATGAACTTGGCATACTTGGGCATCTTCGACAGTGCATCCACGAACGGTATGCTGATGTTGAGCTGCTTCAACATTGCCATAACCTTGGCAAACTCAGTCTCCAGCTTGTCTTTGTGTAGGCGAGTGGGGAAGGGAAGCTGGGGCACATGCTCCTTAACCACTGGTTGTGGCTTGGGAGCAGGGGCTTCCTTCTCCACCCGCACTTCTGCATCGTCGGCTGGAAGTGCTGAAGCAGGTAGTGCTTCCTCCTGTCTGGCCGGGATAGGATCAGCAGATATGGTTTTACCGCTCCTGGTAAAAATGGCATCCAGCTGCTGGTGCTGGTGAGGATCCCGAGGATTCGGGATAGTGGTGGCAGGCAGAGTCCCCGGTGCCCTGGTAGTGTTTTGGCGGGCCAAGATGCCCACCTGGGTCTGCAGATCTTGCAAAATGGCACCCTGGTTCCGCTGACCTGCCTCTAGTGACGTGATAGCAGCCTGAGTGCTAGTCATGAATGAAGCTAGAATATTTTCCAGCTTTGTCATCTGGTCATCTGGGGCAGGGGCTGCTGCTGGCTCGATAAACTGGTGCTGGGGCTGCTGGAATGGTTGCCCCTGCCTAGGCTGGTAGGGCTGCTGCTGTGGGGCTGGCCCCTGTCGAGCCTGGAAGGGCTGCCTCTGCTGAAAACCACCTGCTGGTGTTGGGAAACCAGGTGGTTTAGTGGTGTTGCTGCTCCAGGCGAAGTTGGGATGCTGGCGCCACCCCTCATTATATGTGCTGCTGTACGGGTCGAGGCGCCGAGCATTGGCGATGAAGTCCAATTGCTCTTGGGGAGTGGTAGACTCCCTCATAGCCTGGCAGTCCTCCACTAGGTGATTGGAGCTCTCGCACCACTGACATTGAGCTACTGGAGGTGTAGCCAAACCTCTGCCCGGAATAAGACTGTTGGGTTGCTTCAATGTCTGCACCAGCTCAGCTACCTGCTGCTCGAGCCCGGATCTGGTCTCTATGGCGTGCACACCACGGTCCCGGGACTGTCTGCCTCTGCTGCTCTGTCCCCAAGAATGATCTCTGGCAGCCAAGGTATTGATCATCTGGTTCAGCTCGGGTGGAGTCTTAGTAAGAATATCCCCTCTTGGGCATAAAGACTCAATCACCCTCTGGCTATCTGGAGAGAGGGCACTGTAGAAGTTCCCCACAGTGAATGCATCACTAAAGCCATGATGGGGACACTGCCAGAAGTATCCCATGTACCGCTCCCATGCATCACGAAGTGACTCATCTGGCTCTTGGCGGAAGTGAGTGATCTCCCGCTGGATCTTTGTAGTCTTCGATGCCGGATAGTACCTGTGCACGAACTTGTCCGCCAGATCGTCCCAAGAGGTGATGGACAATGGGGGCTGGGTCTCCAACCACCTCTTAGCATTCCCCGCCAGAGAATGGGGGAAGAGATGAAGGCGGATTGCATCATCCGGGACACCATTCAGCTTGAACCCGTTCGTCAGCTGCAGAAAACGGGAAAGATGCACCCTGGCCTCCTCATCCTTCAAGCCATGGAACTGGATAGAGGATGTGTGAATGCACCTACTTTAACAAGCAGATCCTCTATGATCCCCCTAGGATGCACAATGGAACGATCAGCTAGTTGAATGCTCATCCTAGTAGGGCTAAGTTCACCTAGGTCTAGCTTTTTATACAACTTATATGGCATGACATTTATGCTAGCGCCTAGGTCCACCAAGGACTTGCCTACATGCATTCTGCCAATAGTAAGAGGGATAGTAAAACTCCCTGGATCCTTGCGCTTTTCGGGCAGCTTGTTCTGCAGGATAGCAGAACACTCCTCACTGAGCATCACTGTCGAAAGATCCCAAAGTTTCTTCTTGTCGGTGAGGAGGTCTTTCATGAACTTGGCATACTTGGGCATCTTCGACAGTGCCTCCACGAACGGTATGCTGATGTTGAGCTGCTTCAACATTGCCATAAACTTGGCAAACTCAGTCTCCAGCTTGTCTTTGTGTAGGCGAGTGGGGAAGGGAAGCTGGGGCACATGCTCCTTAACCACTGGTTGTGGCTTGGGAGCAGGGGCTTCCTTCTCCACCCGCACTTCTGCATCGTCGGCTGGAAGTGCTGAAGTAGGTAGTGGTTCCTCCTGTTTGGCCGGGACAGGATCAGCAGATATGCTTTTACCGCTCCTGGTAAAAATGGCATCCAGCTGCTGGTGCTGGTGAGGATCCCGAGGATTCGGGATAGTGGTGGCAGGCAGAGTCCTCGGTGCCCTGGTAGTGTTTTGGGGGGCCAAGATGCCCACCTGGGTCTGCAGATCTTGCAAAATGGCACCCTGGTTCCGCTGACCTGCCTCTAGTGACGTGATAGCAGCCTGAGTGCTAGTCATGAATGAAGCTAGAATATTTTCCAGCTTTGTCATCCGGTCATCTGGGGCAGGGGCTGCTGCTGGCTCGATAAACTGGCGCTGGGGCTGCTGGAATGGTTGCCCCTGCCTAGGCTGGTAGGGCTGCTGCTGTGGGGCTGGCCCCTGTCGAGCCTGGAAGGGCTGCCTCTGCTGAAAACCACCTGCTGGTGCTGGGAAACCAAGTGGTTTAGTGGTGTTGCTGCTCCAGGCGAAGTTGGGATGTTGGCGCCACCCCTCATTATATGTGCTGCTGTACGGGTCGAGGCGCCGAGCATTGGCAATGAAGTCCAACTACTCTTGGGGAGTGGTAGACTCCCTCATAGCCTGGCAGTCCTCCACTAGGTGATTGGAGCTCTCGCACCACTGACATTGCGCTACTGGAGGTGTAGCCAAACCTCTGCCCGGAATAAGACTGTTGGGTTGCTTCAATGTCTGCACCAGCTCAGCTACCTGCTGCTCGAGCCCGGATCTGGTCTCCATGGCGAGCACACCACGGTCCCGGGACTGTCTGCCTCTACTGCTCTGTCCCCAAGAATGATCTCTGGCAGCCAAGGTATTGATCATCTGGTTCAGCTCGGGTGCAGTCTTAGTAAGAATATCCCCTCCTGGGCATAAAGACTCAATCACCCTCTGGCTATCTAGAGAGAGGGCACTGTAGAAGTTCCCCACGGTGAATGCATCACTAAAGCCATGATGGGGACACTGCCAGAAGTATCCCATGTACCGCC